CGACTCGACTCGAAAAAAATGAGTCGAATAGAGTTGGTCTTTAAACTCGACTCGACTCGACTCATTCAGAACTCTATGCAAAAGCAATATCTTTACTAGTAACTGCTCCTATTATCACAAACTTCCTGATATTACCTACGTTAATATATTCTATACTTACTCTAATACTTATTGCGATTATATGGCTTATGGCCAGAAAATGTTGGAATTCATAAAAAAAAAATTAACCAATTTTTACCTATAGAAATTATATAAATAGGGACTATGCAAAGCGTCTCTTTACCAGACCAGATCATTATTATTTTCAATTCTAATCAACTATCGTATAATTACTGACGCAAGTGGAACTTCTTCAATTTTTTTTTAATGCAAGCTAATATTATTTTTGGTAAATCTTTAGGCAGGTTTATTAAGACTTTTTCTGCTTAGGATACTATATACGCTAATAATTAACCAATATGAATTAGGTCACCTTCCTTATCATTATGCCTATACTGTAATAAAAATCAATAGTCATTTATTACAATATCTGTCATTTTCTTCTGATCTGTTATTATTTTACAAAATATCTGCCTATTCTCTTCTGTAATCAGGAGATAAATTTTATTAAGTTCAAAGCATATATACTGAAAAACTTGGTCACGTAATTTAGCTATTATACTAATAAAGCTTATCTTTAAAATATGTAATTTTTTTGGCTGATTGTATCCTAAGAATACAGTTTTACCAAATTATTATATGCAAAAAATACTAATGATCATCTCTGAACATATCTGAGGGGTCCACTCTATAATTAGACCGAAAGAGATATTTGTCTTGCAAACTCAGATCAAATATAGAAATTGAAGTTAGCCGATATTATTACATGAGAAAATATGCAGTCATAAATAATATTATACAAAGCATCTTATAACTAAGTACTTAGCTGAAATTGCCAAATCTCGCTAAGAGTACTTAGCAATATAGTTCAATGATATTGTCTATATTTACTTCAGACGAATCATCTTTTTTATCATTCTGTAATTTCGATAATGTTTGATAGTGTGTGATTTCTAGGCCAATCACTTTGTACTATATACTTCGCAAATAAGCTAATAATGCATATCCATTTTCTTGAATATACAGTATATTAATATATATTTTTCTAAGGTCATAGCTTTCAATTTGCGCTTACCGGCCTTAGTAACTAATTTATACATTTCTTCTCTATACCCGTCTTGAACATTTTCTGCTAGTAGTGTTGTTAGCTTTATACAAATTGATCCCTCCTGCTTATCTAATACGCTGAGAGTAAGCATAATTTTCTGAGCATTTTACTATTTTATCAGCATAAGTAGTGTCATATAAATTTTTTGCATAAGTACATGCTTCTTTTCATAGGTAGGATATGATAGTCTCATCTTTTTTCAGACCTTCATGTAGGTTTTTGATATACTCCCTAACCCACTTTTCAGCCAAAATGCTGAAAAAAGTTTAAGTTTTATTTTAAAAAATCAATTTTCGTTAAAAATTAATCTAACTATTTTTAGGTATGATCGACAAAATTGATCACGTGCCAGTAATTTTTTAGTAGTTACGCTGGGGAAGTTTGATGAAACTTTCTCGAAACTTTTTGCCTATATATATGATTCTTATAATATGAAACTTATGGAACAATAAAGATTCTTTTTGACGTGTGGACGCGAAGGTAAAAAAAGGTAAACCATTCCTTTATTTGATTTTTATTTTTTATTTTTTATTTTATTTTTTAGTTGGTCGGGTTGGATAAGAACGCTAAGGTCAGAAAGAAGGTAAGCCATTTACAGTATGTATTTTGCTTTGTTTCTTTTTTTTTGGCAGGTGGGTTGGAAGGTATGTCATTTCTTATTTGCTTTTTTTTTGTTTGTTTTATTTTTTTGGTAGGCGGGCTAGGTAAGAAGGTAAGCCATTCCTTTATTTGCTTTTTTTTTTTTATTTTGTTGTTTTTTTGACGTGAGGGTTGGAAGGTATGTCATTTCTTTATTTGCTATTTATTGTTTGTTCGTTATATTTTTTGATGGGCGGGCTAAGGTAAGCCATTCCTTTTATCTTGTTTGTTTTTTGGCGTTGGATAAGAACGAGGTATGTCATGCTTTTTATTGTTCGTTTGTTATATTTTTTTGGTTAAATCATTTTTTTTTTTGTTTTTTCGCGGGTATGTCCATCTCTTTTTATTTGCTTTTTTTTGTTTTGTTGTTTTTGGATATTATGGGGCAGCATGATGTTACGCGTGGGTGGGGGCGTGACATGCTTATCTTTGGTAAGCCCGTGGGTACCCAGTTTTCTGGAAGTCTCATGGTAGGGCTGGTTGGGTATTATCGGAACGGCATAGTACTGTGCGTGGAAGGAGCATAGGCGCTTACATTTCGTAAGCCTATGGGTACCAGCTTTCTGCTGCAGTCTCGTAGTAGGGCCGAAGTATTTTGTTTAAGAAAATCTTTTCAAACGAATACGCAAGAATATTTGTTTAACTGAACTAACGAAACTTACGAGCTCCTAAGGAGTACTTTATTATTTACCATACTTATAGTGAGGAAAAAATAAAAATATTATATTACATTTTAAATAAAACTTTTAAACGCGAGGTCAAACAGTAGCAAAAAATCGATTATTTTTGATGAATTTTTTTTTTTTTAATGATTTGCGAGACAGGTGCATTTTGACAAGTATAAATCGTAAAATAAATCGTAAATAGAAAATCAAATCTTTATAAATGAGTTGATGGTTCCGTTCAAATTTACTTTTGAAGTCTATAGATTTCTCCTTGATTATTTGATTACCAAAAAGTTTTGGATCGATGTAAGGCAAGCCGAATATTTCTAATGTGATGCTTGATTTTTCAGCGATTTTTTTTTGATAAACCAAAGTTTGATGTACAGTACAGTATATTTTCCAAATTCTCTCAATTACATTGGAATTAATCTCTATTTATAGTTATTTACAAAAAAAAAAAAAAAAAGGAATAATTATTCGTAAAAGCTAATCTCGACGTTTGTGAAAATTATTTTACAAATTGTATTGAACGCGTAAATTTCGCGTAACTTCATATATAACTTCCTTCCGAACCCGTGGGATGTGTAAAATCCTATTTATGTTAAAATATTAACACCTTTAGAAATTGATCTTAGAAACATTCACTGTCATAAGAAAAGAAATATTATTATTATTTTGTTACGTAAATAAAATGTTTTCGTTTTTTTTTTTTTTCGTTATAGAATAAGTATTCTGTGAAAAGATCAAAATTTTTGATTACATATCATTTTAAAAGGAACAAAAATTAAGGAATTTCACAAAAATAACAGATAAACGATTAATTTAAGAGAATCGGAGAGGGCTTCTAATAAAGGTTACCGCCGATATTAATGAAGTACATTTATTGACACCTTAGTTCGAACCGGATTATCAATGGTAGCTTTTATTAAAAGTTTCCCGGTCCTAATTATAAACAACAAATATAAGCAAGTGTTTAAATCGTCTGCTCATGTTCCATAAATTTTGTAAAGAAAAAAAGATGATATGATTAGGATATCTATTGTCACTGTTTGAACATTATGTGAAACGTAAGGGTGACAAATAATATTTTTAGTATAAAAAATGTTCAAAGTAATGTGATGAGTTTATATTTATTATATTTATTTCAAAAATTGTTTCGTTTTAAAAGAAAAAATTTTGTTAATTTAGAATTTATAGTAATTCAAAAGACCTGTTAAAATAAAAATTAAAAAAATTATCATCTGCAAAAATTTCTGTTCGAAACTTAATAATATTCTAAAAATTATAAAAAAAAAGGTTAGATAAAACTAACTCTATTTAAGCAAGCCACCAAAATAAATAAATAAAAGAAAAAAGATGTTCTTGCTAAGCAAGATCACAAAATATTAGGATGCATTATTAGCATAGTTAACAACTATAATAAATTTTATTAAAGATTTTTTTATAATTTTGATATAGTTACTAAATTTAAATTTTCCTTACAATAAATTTCTAACTAAATTGATAAATTTTTATATTTAAATAACATTAATCTTTTCCTAATTATTTGCTTTAAATTTTACAAAATTAATGTTTCTTTTAGATAACACCTCATTTTTTTCAAAAATTATCATTTACATTTTAAGAAATAATAAATAAATCTTTTGGGCATAGCTCTCTAAATAAATAAAATTTTTTTTGATTTTTTTCATAAAAATAAGGTATTATATTATTTTTTTAGATTATTTTGTATTTATTTACAGTTTTAATTTTTTTGAATGCTAACTAAAACTGAAGTTATTTATTTATCTTTAAAGATTTCAGATTTTTTATTAAAAAAAAATACCTTTATATTTAAAATGTGTCTGTCAATTAAAAAAATTTATAAAATATAAGCTAAAAATTAGAGGTGAAAAAATAATAAAAGAAGAAAAATAAATAAAATTATAAATAAAATAAACAAAAAATTTTGATAATACTTTAAAACTAGTAACAAAAATGCTAAAATTAAATAAGAACAACTTTGATAAATTTTTTTAGTTTAATACTAGCCGTTGAGCCTGTGCTTCGCAACGACATATATACACGTGATGTCATTATTATAACGGTTAAATACTTTAGCGATCGGTAGTACAGCATTCAGTGGCTTAGCAAATCGAGACGGTTCAAAATTAAAATTTTTTAATGTATCAAATATTACAATAAACCAACTATCATACATTGCATTACTCAATAAATGTTTTCACATAAAAGTATTTAAAAATGTATTTTTCGTCATTATAAAAACATTGTCTATTGAAATACTTCAGTATATACAACGTTTTTTGTTTGGCATTGCCGGTCATGATTAAGGAGAACCTTTATGCATTGATTCGAAATGATTCTTGATAAGGCAACGTATAACCTGTCCATGCGAAAAAATGGGCTGCAGTAAATAAAGACCTACATGATTTAATGTTTGACTTTGTGATTTATTGACTGTCATGGAGAAGGCAACACGTATCAGAAATTGGCACTGACTTAAAACAAAAGGCAAACTGGTGTCAGAAGGTATTAATGTAATATATGGTATGAAGACACGCCTACCTACTTGTGGACCGGTGATAATTTTAGCATCAATTACTTTACTATAAAGGCCACGACAAATTAATCGTGTCTCATTGCAAAGACCCTCTGAAGGATTTAAGTTTCATAAGAGTATGATCGGAACTCCCACTTTCAATCTCAAATCACCAGGAAGAAGACCAGGAATTTTCAACGATCTTAAAAATTCCAAGGCATATAGTTGAGGTTGGTCTGTATTGCTATCATCTGTTAAATCTATAGAGTCTGCGCTAGTATATATATGAAATTCACCTGGATATTGATTCATTATTAGGGTTGAGATACGTTCAACATCATCATTCTTTAGAGTCAAAATAGCCCTGCCAACCATATAATCCACATTTGCCAAATTTTCAATTAAATTCAGATAAACAAAATCAATAAGATCAGATAATTCACCACCAGGGATTACCATAGCAAAAGGGAGTTTAATCACATTCTCTGTATCTGGAATAACAGGATATTTACCATCACTAATCTGCAAAAGAAAGTTAGCAAAATTGGTCTGTCTTTGGTTCTCACTGGTATCATTAGACTGACGAAGTCTCATATTAATTGATAACTTCATCACCTTCATGTGTCTTCATAAAGATGAACGACTCAAACTTGATGAAACGATCTCAGCATGTGACGCACGTGGTATTACAGGAAGTACCTGACGAAAATCACCTCCAAATACCTCCAAAAGGTTTATCAACTTGAGTAATATCGCGAAACGTCTGATCTAATATTTCAAAAGCAAATTTATGAATCATTGGGGTCTCGTCCCAAATGAAAAGCTTTGCCAAAATAATTAGACGGGCTTCTTTACAGTTTCGCAAAATGTTACACATTGAAGATTCATTAAGTTTAAGCAGAATCTTGAATCGGCTATGTGCAGTCCTACTACCTGTTATCAAAAATGCAGCAATTCCGGATGATGCTACTGCTACAGCAATGTTACCAGATGATCTAACAGTTGACAGAAAGACATTATACAAAAAAGTCTTTCCAGTACTACCTGGACTATCTATGAAAAAACATCTATCTGCGCATGCAACTGCATGCATAATAGCTTCGTATATATTACGTTGATCATCATTTAATAGTGGAACATTTCGCGTGATATCATCCCTAAGCTGAGCAATATTATACGATCTTTCTTCTCAGATTAATTGATCCAAATCCTCACTATCATAATTAATATCCAAAGATCTTGGTGGAGGAATCGGCATATTTGGAAA